TGTTTTTGAATTATTGCATAAACCAACAACTTGTAGAGTTGACGAAAAATTTATATCTTAGATAACAAAGTGTACTATTTTCAAATAAAAAATAATGATACTAAGTAAATAACATCTACAAACCATTATGAGTGGGCTAAAGTACATGAGTAGACACAATTTACTTCTGACTTCAAATTCTACCATTTATCTTTATGAACAAAAAATATATTGATGGACCATCAACAAAGCTGTAAATTAACTTGAAATGTTCGATACTTTCATGAGATCAAAATAACTTCAAACTGCTTGTCTGTGGTCCATGTTAGGATATAACTTGGAAAAAGTGAACCAGGTACATAATTACCAAAGTGTCAAGTGGGGCACTGAGATTGAGCAGATCAAACCTAGAAGAAAGAGGGTTTGTTGGATTTCTATTCTCAGTAGAAGTTGGGTCTTTGGTTATCAACTTATCATCATTCCTAACTTAACTGCTTCATCAGGATTTCATTAAATAAATTCCAGAACTTGAACATAAGTTCTTAGTCTCCTTCCTTAATCCTTCCATCTCTATTGAATTGCATGGGAACATGGATCAGGTGGCTTTAACTTGTAGGTAGCTGCCCCTACAAATGAAGAGAAAACCAACTCCATGAGACCTAGCCCATCTTAATTATGAAATCACTTTTCATTTTAAGAATATTAGGTGGGGGTATTTTCCACCTTAGTCCCCAATAATGCACCATCCTATTATTTTTCTTTATGATAAGAGATCTCGAAGCATGCGTTTCGAAACAGTTTCAAGTTCCATAATTCTCATAAAAATCACGAAACCCCATCAAAGTGGGCGATTCGGACTTACAACCAACCACCATTTCTTCTCATAATACTTGACTATGAGGAGTGAGCCCAAAAACATATCGTATCAATTCTTATGCATTATCTAAAGTTCGAAATCGATAATCAACAATCCTCGTACTTTTTTTTCGCTTGAAACCAATCGAGTAGTTAATCACAACCCTATTATGCCTTTTTCCAATTTCAGCAATGATTCCCTTCAAGCTGTTACCCATACAAAGCAGCAACCCAATTTTCAACACAAATCCAAGAATTGGCCCAAAAATTCAATTCAAGTGGGAAAGAAAGTAGAGAGGCCTTCTCTCTTGATCTTTTCAAGACTTATTTGCCCATTAGTTGTTAATTCACTAATTAATTAATTAATATGCTTTTGACCAGAAGAAGGAATAAACATTTAAAGCAGAGAGAGACATGGGAGAGCTTAATCTATTACTAAATCAGTAATTTTGTCAGTTTGTTACCCACCACTAGGCCACTAGTTTTTGCAAAAATCTCCATGAGCAGAATCATCATGATCCTTCTTAAATGTCTCTCTTTCCCATCCGAGCATCATCACGCTCAATTAACTTTTGGGAACTTGTTAATGACCCGATTAATGACAAGGATATATACAAGTAGAACAACACTTATCTTGATAGTTGGAGTATGGTCTTGACTCTTGAGTCTAATCATTTAAATTTATAGGTTAATCCTCACCATATATGATTTAGTATCCAAAATTTGAGATAATTAGGACTTGTTCGGATTTATGACCAATAAGTCTATGCACGAACTGGTTGATTAGAAATAATTAGGTTTCGTTTGGAAGTTGCATATGTTAAATCGTTGTATTGTTATAAATCACTATCATATAAATGCATGCATTGATACAATAGATGCATTTTGAAATTACCTTGTTTGGTTGTTGAGATTATAATTTATGAATTGATTGTTATAAAGTTACTTTATAAGGAAATGTCATATTTGTCCTCCACTTTTAATATAAAACAAAAAGAACTATGGACATAATTGGAAAAAGTAAAGGTGCTCAATTATTAAACCAACAATCTCAACTTTTAGTTGAGAATGTACAATCCCTCATTTTTGTTGATTGTTGGTGGGACCCACATAAAACAATACATGCACTGTTTTGCAACTTGACACTTCCAAACGTTGTATTGTGGACAATGCATGTATTTAACAAATACAACACTAACAATCGCAACTTCCAAACGACCCCTAAGTTCCTACACTTGATTTGTAACGAACCGATCGTCGAATCAAAACTCATCGTGATCCCTTGGCCGGCCAGCATAATATAAGAAAAGGATTATGTTACCGTCCATGGAAAGCATAATATAATCCTTTCATTCTCGTACCATATATACGTGGTTGTTGCTGCTGTCTCATCTCTCATCAGTACTCTTCGTTATCAAACAAACCGCTCTCTCACGAGCCACGACCTGATTACCACAGCACACAAGACACAATCGGGCAGCAGCAGATCGAAACGGCTTTGATTTTCATGGTTTTAGCAGCACGGCATGTCGTGTAACAGTTTTGTCGCCATGTTCTGTTTTGGGCACTCGTAATCTTGGGACCGACGGTCGAGTCATCAGTGGGTCGCTGTTACTTGTCTGGTATGCCGTAGCAAGCAAAATGAATGGACTTTAAAAGACAAACAAATGTAATTATGGAGGAACGATTATAATTTGTTGTCATGTCGATCATTAGTCAGAGTTAGCTGCGGTTTGGAGGTATGGTATACGTACAAAACTTGGGATTTGTTCATGTCAACACATCATGAATATATATTGACTCTTGTGGCCATGATCGCCAGCCCACCATTGTCATTTGCTTTCTCGTCATAACTATTTGTACTCGAATCATGCACCTAAGAATCCTCATCCTACTTTAAATATCTAAATTTCAGGTTTCTTGTAGGGGTGGATTTGGTTCGGTTCGGTTATAACCGATAACCGATTGGTCGGTTACCGGTTAACTGAACCACCATCTCCCTCTACCGAACACCGACCGGTCGGTTATCAGTTAGTTGGTCGGTTAATTGAGATAACCGAAAAAATGATGGTGGTTCGGTTTTAACTGGGTAAAATTATTAGAATTGCCTAAAATGAAAGGTTCTAACTTACATTTCTACATCTAAATCACCAAATTAATGTCTCAAATTCAACAACATAAAGTTATAAACTTCATAACCGGGTATTTTCACGTCGTTTTGATGAGAGGGGTGGTCGGTCGGTTATTGTCGGTTAACCGGATAACCGATTTTCGGTTACTCGGTTAACCGAATTACCTATTAGGAGCTCCGACCACCGACCGAAGCATATAATTTTCGGTTATCGGTTAACCGGTAACCGCCGGTTATCGATTTAACCGGCCGGTTAACCGGCAACCAATAACCGAACCTCCAGCCCTAGTTTCTTGTCATGTTGAGCAATGGAATAAGTTGCTGTTTAGTTGGAGATCATATGCTCTGTTCGAAGTCGTCAGTTGAATCTGAAGTCAGTTCAATCGTTTAGATATAAAAGTAGCTTCGTTTAAATAATCTGACCAAGTTCACTCCTATCTGAAATTCGACGACTACCCTCCTTTTTTAGTTTATTATTACGAAATTCACTACTAGCAACGACATTGACTAACCTCTTATCATGTGTGAAGACAGAAAATGGTAAATTTTATTGCTCCATAGAGTAGCATTTATTCCCAATGAGGAACCCTTGACCTGAAAATTTAATACCGCTGCAATGTTTTAGAAACTTTACCCTGTCACTTGATTGGATCAGGAATACCTGGTAACTGACCTCAAATTGATGGACGATTTTAGCACTATGAAACGATTAAAACACGGTTTGATATATAAAATACATACACTACTCCGGACTTTTCCAAGGGCTAAGATCAGGTGACTAAGGGGGGGTCCCTTAGTCACATGACTAAGTAAATCTCAGCCCTTCCATCTCATTAAAATCTAATGGCTACAATTAATCTACTTTAATGAAGGGCAAAACTGTAAGTCCATGATTATTTTATTTTTAATTACTAAATAATTTTTTCCCCGGCTCTTCTCTGCTGCCGTCCGTCTCGTTTTTTTTCCCCGCCGGCAAGGAATTCCATCGCCTGTCTTTTTGTTATGGGAATTTATTCCCCAAGTTCAACCAGAGAGAGTTCTGGGAATTCTTTCCACCATTTCCACCAGGTGCAACGAGAGAGAGAGAGAGAGAAAGAGAGAGAGAAATATTTGTCAACCTATAGTGTTTATAAGTCTCATTTGTAATGTTTATATCATTTTCGGTTTGTATTGTTTGTCATTTTTATCTACCATGTTAGTAATGTTTATATAACTAATTTGTATACATTGTAATTTGTAATGTTTGTTTGTCTATTTTGTATACTTTGTATTTATTGGTTTGTAATTCCAGTTTATCGATTTGTATTATAAGTAGTGGTGTTTTGTATTGTTAGTATGGTTTGTACTGTTTGTCGGTTTATCTTGTAATTTTGTAAGCTTTTTTATGATTGTAATGTTTGTTGGTTTGTTTTGTAATTTTTGTTCACCATGTTTGTCATTTTTGTCGGTCATGTTTGTAACATTCATATACTTCTGATTTGTATGTTTTGTATGCTTTGTATTTTGTATGGTTAGTATGCTTTGTATACAATGTCAGTATTATCTGTATACTTTTATGATGTGATCACGGGTTTATATACTTTGTAATATTAATTTGTATACTTTTATGATGTGGTATGTATACTATGTAATATTTAGTAGTGATTTTTTTGTTTTTAGTAATCTTTGTATATAATATTATCTTGATTTGTATACTTATATTATGTGGTTCTAATACTTTTTAATATTGTTTTGTATACTTTTTAATTCTGTGATTTTTATTTTTATAATAAAAAAATTGATTAAAAAAAAATCAAGGAAACGCATGTGCATGAGTTGGACTGGGAAGTTTAAAAATCATTTAATTAAAGAAAAGTCAGCTCCAATTAAAAAGCAGCTGAATTGTATTAAAAAAAAAGAAAGAGACGTGAGGTAGTTGAAAAGTGTGGCCGGGGAAAAAGTAAAGAAAAAGGAAATTAATTATTTATAATACCACAACTACCCTTTTTGTTAGTTAAATATCCCTTCCCACTTTTCAACCTTTAGATTAGGATATCTAGATCTAAGGGTTAGGAAGGACTTAGTCACTTGACTAAGGACCCCCCCTTAGTCATAGGATCCGCACTCCTTTTCCAATGGCACTAATCCAAATCTTAGCCGGATTAAGCTGACAAGGGACAAATCATGAGGCTGAATCCCTAGTTCTTACCCCCAAGTAGCACATGTGGACTTCTGGGCCTTGCTGGTGGAGAGTGGAAACAGATCTGTCTGTCTGTCACTCGTACGAATCGACGACTCTGAGCCCAGATGAAGCCCATTAATAGAACAACCCAACCAAAAAAGCCCATCTCGGCCCACCCGGACCTCCAGCCAAAAGCTCTCTAAACCCTCGATTTCGGCTTCTGTAATATCAGCTCCAAGCAGCCGCTACTTCGCTTCCCTCCCCCATTATCGCTACGCTTCTCCGCCGTCCCAAACCCTAGATTCGCCGCAACCATGAAGTACAATCCGAGAGTCTCCTCCTCCCGGCGCAAGAACAGGAAGGCCCACTTCACGGCGCCGTCGTCGGTCCGCCGGATCCTGATGAGCGCCCCACTCTCCACCGACCTCCGCCAGAAGTACTCCGCCAGGTCGATGCCGGTGCGCAAGGACGACGAGGTCCAGGTGGTGCGCGGAACCTACAAGGGGCGCGAGGGGAAGGTTGTTCAGGTGTACCGCAAGAAGTGGGTGATCCACATCGAGCGCATCACCAGGGAGAAGGTGAACGGATCGACGGTGAACGTCGGCGTCCACCCGTCGAAGGTCGTGATCACCAAGCTGAGGCTCGACAAGGATAGGAAGTCGCTGCTGGACCGCAAGGCGAAGGGCCGAGCCGCCGCGGATAAGGACAAGGGGACCAAGTTCACCGCCGATGATATCATGCAGAACGTCGATTGAGAGATCTCGTTTTTGGGGTGACGTCTTTTTGATTCAGCTCTCTATTTTTCGCTATGGATGTTGAAGTTTTTTGAACAGATGGTAGTTATTTGCCTTTTGAGTATCGGATTCTGTTGCTGTTGAGATTACTAAAAATATCAGCTTTGTGGAATTTTTGGTATTCTGTGGTTTGTGATTGTGTTAGGTTGCTTTGATCTGCTCATTAGATAGCTTATTGTATGTTTGCAGTTTCTTTGGTAATTGATAATTGTCCATTTAGAGCAATGTAGCTTAGAATCAGAGGGTGGTCTAATGGTGGATGAGCTTAGTTCTCCTTGTAGTCAGAAGGTCTAGATGCTGTGGGAGTAAGTCTAACTAGTGAATCGAATCCGAGTATTTGCTTAGTTCTCCCCTGATACAGTGAATCCTGAGAAGAAAGGGATTTCTATGATTATGGCTATAATTGGTGCTCTTCTCTTTGATTAAGAAGTTGATCATTTGGAACCTCGAAGAGAGACCAGACCGATGCCATTACGTCCGCACTGGTTCCTATCTTGTTGAGATGAAGGCTATGAGTTTTGGTGGACTCTTGTTGTTAAGTTGTGGCTGGTTGCCTTCTTGGTTTCTGTGTTATGGTTTTAGATTGAACTTCTGCATGATCGTTGTGATGGAAGTTTGTCGGGGATTTGTTTACGTGAGCTCTCTGGTAGCTGGCCTTACATAGGAATCAACCCTTTGAGTAGGAGGGAGGGTTAATAAGGTCGTTGGTAGATGAGCAAAAGCTTAGTCATAGTTTAGTGTTAGCTTACCCCTGCTGCCTTTGGCGATGAATCCTGAATGGGAAAGGATTGCAATGGTATGCTTTTTCCAATCCTTGATCTTCTGGGAACTGCAACTATTGAAGCTTGGTTATATGTACTTGTTTGCTTTAGAGTGTTAAAACCCTAACTCCCTTCATCTCCCCTTTGACAAGAGAATAGACAAAGGGTTGTATTTTTGTAGCTTTAGAAACTTATATTTGTCTGTTGGCAAAACTGTTGGTTCGCCACCAACTTAGATGAGAACATGTCGTTTACTTTTGCACACTCTTGTTGCGTGTGGTGCTTGTTTATGTGCGGTTTAGAGCCTTCATAGGCAAAGGTTTGAGCACCTTGTCTTTTGGATTTGGCTCGAAAATGTTCGGTGAGCCATGATCGTGATTTGTCTTGTTGAAGTGTCGTCTGTTTTTCCAAAATTTCGAACACGAGACCGCTTTGCACACTGGCCTAATTAGTAATCACTGATTGTTGGCAAAACTTATATCCCTTCCAAACACAAGCAGAGAAAATCCGCTGACACAAGCTTCCAAGAATTACAAGGACACTTTCACCTCCGGCATGCCTTACACGTCCGGATTTGTCATCACCCATTTGCCCCTTTGCCAGAATTTCAACTTCCCCTTGCTGTCCATATAGCTCACCTCAGCTTTCCCAACAGTTCATTAGCAATTGCAAAAACCATGGACTCTGTCCATGAGATCGCAATCACCGGTCAAAACCTGCCGGCCAAGTACATCTACACCGACGGCATAAACCCAAGCCAGAACCCATCGATTCCTCTCCCCCTGCTGGAGATTCCAGTCATCGATTTCAATCGCCTTGCGACTCCATCCACCGGCACCGGAGAAGAGCTGGGAAGGCTTCGTTCAGCTCTCAGCTCGTATGGTTGCGTCATGGTAACAAACCACGGAGTGGCAAGTTCACTCATGGACAGAGTGCGGCTGGTCTTCAAGCAATTCCTTGCTCTTCCCATGGAAGAGAGGCTGAAATGCCAGAAGGAAGTTGACGGGTTTGATGGGTATGGTAGTGACATGATAGTTACCAAAGATGTAGCAGTAGTTCATGACTTTTCTGCGCGACTGCGTCTAATCACATGGCCTGAAGACAGGAGACAGATGAAGTATTGGCCTGAAAAGCCACATGATTTCAGGTAAATCTAAAAACTCATACATAGCTCCTTGTTAGCTTGAAACTTGATAAGGAAATGATAGACGATCATATCGATTTGTTACCAGGGAAGTTCTCGATGAATACAGCAGCAAGTTACGAGTGCTTCACGATGCAACCCTCAAGGCGATGGCCAGGTCACTAAACCTGGAAGATGACAGCACGTTTCTGAAGGTGATCAGAGAAGGAGGGACGATCTCTTCCAGATTCAACTTCTACCCACCATGTCCAACACCCGATCGAGTTCTGGGGCTCAAGCCGCATTCTGATGGAACAGTGATTACCTTTGTGCTGCAAGACAGAGAAGTGGAAGGGCTTCAGGTTCTGAAGGAGGAGCAGTGGTTCAGAGTTCCAATCGTTGCAGATGCTCTTGTTCTCAACGTCGGAGACCAACTAGAGGTAATTAAGTTAGATGATTGTTTTGGTGTGAGCTTGTTGCTTGAATTAGTCATCAATGGAGTTTGATTTTGACTTTCTGCTCCGTACCAGATAATGAGCAACGGGGAGTTCAAGAGCCCAATTCACAGAGTAGTTCTGAACCCGAAGAAGGAGAGGATATCCATAGCTACACTTTCTTTCCCTCAGGAGGGTAAACAAATTGAACCATTTGAAGGTTTAGTTAGTCGAGAAAGGCCGAGGCTTTACAGGCAGGTGAAGTACAATGGAGTTACCCAACTGGGTTACTATCAGAGTGGGAAGAGAGTAACAGATGAGGTGAGAATCTGAGGGCTTCTTTTTTTCATTGGAGAAAAGAAGGAAATCACCTGTGAGAACTGTGTATGCAGCAACATTGTATGATTGTATCCAACCTTTGTTAGGAATTTCGAAATTTCAGATTCCTTTCTGTGATCTTACACGAGCCTACTTAAGTATAACCAGGGATGACAATCAAACTCGTTGATCCAGTTAACGCGGGAAATCCTCACATTAGATGGATATGAGTAAAACTCGCGGAGAGTTTGATTGGCTAATGGTGGACGAGCGTAAAGAATGCGCAATCAAAGCTCTCTGGTGCCTGGGATCATGGATCTCAACGGACAGTCTTCACCACCTGATACCGAAGACACAAGAGCAACTCTTAAACTTAATCACCGGTACGACTTTTCGACGCAAACTTGATGCTCTGCTTCAATCGTCAATGCCGTCACTCTTTCCATGTCCCACTGGGAACCATTATTGCCAAAAACTGGCCCCACAGAGAGACTCTCAATGAAGCAAATCAGACCACATTTCAACGACGATATTTTTGCATTTCTGGTCTTAGAGAATCTCCTTTTCAGCTGATTTGATATTCCTTTCCAAATACAAGCAGAGCAAATCGGCAGACACAAGGTTCCAAGAATTACCCTTTCACCGCCGCCATGCCCTACACGATTTGTCATCACTCATTTGCCCATTTTGCAAGAATTTCAAGTCTCCCTGTTGCCCATATAGCTCAATCCTTCACCTCAATGCTCCGAACAATTTCATTAGCCACTGCAAACTGCAAAACACCATGGAGTATGAATTGGCAATCACCGGTCGAAACCCGCCAGCCAAGTACGTCTACGCCAACAGCATAAACCCGAGCCAGGACCCGTCGATTCCTCTCCCCCTGTTGGAGATTCCGGTCATCGATTTCGCTCACCTCGCGGCTCCATCCGAGCTCGAAAGGCTTCGTTCAGCTCTCAGCTCGTACGGCTACGTCATGGTAACAAATCACGGAGTGGAACGTTCACTCATGGACAGAGTGCGGCTGGTCTTCAAGCAATTCCTTGCTCTTCCAATGGAGGAGAGGCTGAAATGCCAAAAGGAAGCTGATGGGTTTGAAGGCTTTGGTAGTGAGTAGTGACTAGGGGTGGCAGTCGGTCGGTTTTGGTTTAATCGAAAATCCGGTTATCGGTTAAACCGAGTCATCCTGCATATCTGTCGACCATCGACCATGAGAGTGGTCACGGTTAGCCGGCCAACCGACCGGTCGGTTTCGGTTTTAGCCTCGGTTAGCCGGCCACCCGGAAAACTAGCTTTTCTAAATAAAAAAAAATCAAAAAATCCAAAAATTCTGCACCACTCATCTCACACCTTATCTCCTCCACCAGACCACTTCTCTCTCCTTCCTTCCTCCACCATTTCACACCCACCCACCAAACAACTTCTTCTTCTCTCCTTCCGGGCAGACTGTCCACCAGAGTCTCCGCCGTGCCTGCGCTCACCAGCGTCTCCGCCGCACCCGCGTCCACCAGCGTCTCCGCCGCACCCGCGCTCACCGCGTCCTGACGAGAACCGCCAGCGCCTCAAGGCGGAGCGCTCCTCGCCGCCGCCGCCGCCGCCAAACGCGATCCGAATCGGAACCTCCCTGGCCGTTGTTGGCGAAAATCACGGAGCAAGTTGAGAAGGGGAAGAGGTTTGATTTGAGGAAAGAGGGAAAGAAGATGCCGGAATCGACGACCAAGGAGGGCTCGGCGGAAGGGTTGAGCGGCGAAGGTCCTCGTCACCATGCCTTCCGAGAGAGGTGATCAATGAGGCATGCGACGAAGAAGAGAGGATTGCGAGTTAGTTTCGTTTAGGGTTTTGTTTTGATGATCAGGTTTCGCATGCAAAATCGAAGAAGGGAGAAGAAAATGAAATCGAGTTTCAGAAGGGAGGAGAAGGGGTCGTTTCTGGTTCAGAGGAAAGCGAAAGAGGGGGAAGCAAATGAGGCTAGGCTGTTTGTTAGGGAGTCGACTTAGGGTTGAGGGCGGAGGATTGAAGCGGGGTCGTTTTGGGGAAAGAGAAGGGGTCGGTTAGCCGGTTAACCGCCGGTTTCTGACCCCGGTTAGTCGGCTAGCCGAACCTCTTCCCATCTCCACCGCCAACCGACCGATGCAAGCAGAAACGGTTTTTCGGTTAGCCGAAAACCGGTCGGTTCGGTTGAAACCGTCCGGTTAACTGCTAACCGGAAACCGTTCTGCCACCCCTAGTAGTGACATGATGGTTACCAAAGATGTACCAGTAGTTCATGACTTTTCTGCTAGACTGCGGCTCGCTACATGGCCTGAAGACAAGAGACAGAAGAAGTATTGGCCCGAACAGCCACAAGATTTTAGGTATAAAACCTCAAGTTCAAATGCAGCTCCATTTTTTGCAAATTGAAACTTGGTTATCGAGTTGTTAGCAGTTAAAATCGTGATTCTAGGTATAAGTGCTTTGGTGACCCTAAAAGCTGAAAAAACGTAAGATGTTACTACACCTGTAAGTGAAAAGCGCGATTCTACTCTAAGTTTTTTAAAGCGTGATTTTCACTACAATGATTACCATTAGGGAAGTTCTCGACGAATACAACAGCAAGCTGCGGGTGCTTCATGATGAAACTAAAAGTGCTCAGAGAATCCTGAGTGTTATTGTATTAATCACAAGTATTTATACATTCAGAAACTGAAAGCTATTCCTACGTAGGGGAGCAACCAGCAACGTGAACTAAGGAACAAAAAGCAACAGTCACATAGTGGAGAGCTAACAGAAAGCAACAGTCACATAGTGGAGAGAGGGGAAAGTTGTTATGCTCATCCGAGTATAGCTCCTCCTTATCACGCCCCCGCAAGTGGAACCTCAGAGAGGTGAAACTTGGAGCAGAAGTGACGGAATGATTGACGTGTGAGTGGCTTCGTAAGGACATCGGCAAGCTGATCGGTTGCCGGAAGATAACGGACATGAAGTTGCTGCTTGTTGACCCGATCACGCACAAAATGGAACTCAATCTCGAGATGCTTGGACCGTGTGTGAAAGACCGGATTGTGTGCTAGATATGTAGCTCCCAAGTTATCACACCATAGAATAGGAGCAGAGGATGGGGATTGGCCAAGTTCGGCCAGCAAGGCTTGTAACCAAATGATCTCCGACGCAAGGGTAGCAAGGACGCAGTATTCACATTCTGTTGAAGACCGGGCCACCGCTTTCTGTTTCCGAGTTGACCAGGATACCAGATTCTGTCCATGGAAAACCGCGAACCCAGAGACTGACTTGCGATCCTTAGGACAAGAAGCAAATGATGCATCAGAGTAGCCATGGAGTTGGGAATGAGAAGACCGTTGAAAGATCTGACCTTGAGTGATGGTGCCTTGAAGATAGCGCATTATTCGTTTTACTGCTGCCCAATGTGCATCCGTGGGAGAATGCTGGAACTGCGAGACATGATTCACTGCAAAGGAGATGTCGGGCCTAGTGAAGCTCAGGTACTGTAGACCCCCCACGATACTGCTGTATAAACTCGGATTATCAAAGACTCGAGACAAGTCTGACCCACTTTGAATAAGCTGTTCAGGTGTGCAGGGTGTAGATATGGACTTAGCCTGGGCCATGCCTGAGCGTTCAAGAAGTTCCAGAATATACTTCCGCTGATTGAGAATCAAACCGGTAGGCGTATAATGAACTTCGAGCCCGAGAAAAGATGATAGACGGCCAAGATCGCGGAGAGCAAACTTGGATCGAAGATGAACCAGAAGCTGTTGGATGACTGCCGAATTGTTGCGTGTAATGACAAGATCATCTACATATACCAACATGTACAGAAGTACAGAATCAGTCCGGTAAATGAAGAGGGATGGATCTGTTTGTGATGCAACGAAGCCAAAGTCCCGAAGAGCCTAAGAGAGACAGTGAAACCAAGCTCTAGGGGCTTGGCGCAATCCATAGATGGATTTGCGTAGGCGGCAGACATAATCAGGATGTTCAGAGTCGACGAACCCAACCGGCTGGCGCATATAAACCTCTTCCTTAAGAGTTCCATGTAAGAAGGCATTCGATATGTCTAGTTGATGAAGCAACCAAGCATTGGATACTGCAATGCCAAGGAGAAGACGAAGGGTGGCAGGCTTCAGAACCGGACTAAATGTTTCACCAAAATCATGGCCAGGAATCTGCTCAAACCCACGAGCAACAAGCCTGGCCTTTTCCCGTTCAAGAGAACCATCAGGATTGGTCTTCTCTGCAAAAACCCAACGATTAGATAGAATATTACAATCAGCCGGGGCGGGAACTAAGTCCCAGGTATGGTTCCGGACCAGGGCATCGAACTCATGGACCATGGAAGCCTTCCATCGGGGCAATTTGAGTGCTTGGGAGGCGGTGGAAGGGATACCAGTGGGAGCCGAGGCGAGGTAATGGCGAGGTTTCAGCTTTCTGGTCTGGGTGCGAGTGACCATCCGCCTGGGAGGTGGCGGCACGGCATCGGCGATGAAACAATGCGGGGGGAAGTATTAAAGGGAGGGCGCTGGGTATGAGAAGAAGGGAGAGTAGTGGAGGGTTTGGGGTGTGAGCGGGTGGCAGGAGGAGAAGAAGAAGAGGGAACAGGGTCGGTGGGAACAGGCAAAGGGATGGGAGCAGAGGGAACGGGGCGGCGGTGATATTGGAGAAGCGGAGGTGGTGCGGGTTCGACGACAGGGGGTCGGCGGCGATACTGCAGTAGGGGCCGAGAGGAGGGGTGAGAGAGCTGGGTAGAAGATGGGCTGGCAGGCTGGGTAGAAGATGGGCTGGTGGGCCGGGAAGAATGTGGACTGGTGGGCTGGGAAGAGGTGCTAATTGGCTGAGTTGTGGACGTAGGGTTGTTAGGAGTGGGCCGAGAGAGGGGGGAGTGTGGGCTGGGTTCATTTAGGAGAGGGAAAACAGAGGGCTCGGGGGAGACTAATGGGCCGGGAAGGGTAATGGGCTCAGAAAGAAAATCAGTAGGGGAAATGGAGGTGGTAGGAGCAATAGGAGTGTCTTTGTAGGGAAAGACTGATTCATCAAAAATCACATGACAACTTATATAAATGCGGCCAGTGGACCGATCAAGACAGCGATAACCTTTGTGTAAACCACTATAACCCAAGAATACACACGGTGTAGAACGTGGTTGAAGTTTATGAGAAGTGTGAGGTCGAAGCCAAGGATAGCATAAACAATCAAAGACATGAAGATTTTGAAGATCAGGAGATTTATGAAACAAAGTGTGGAAGGGAGATTGATTTTGGAGAAGCGGTGTAGGAGTGCGATTGATAAGGTAACAAGCTGTATCAAACGCGAGAGACCAGTATTTGAGCGGAACATTAGCCTGATGTAAAATGGCAAGACCATTATTGGCAATGTGACGATGTTTCCGCTCGCACAACCATTTTGTTCTGGGGTATATGGACAAGAAGAATGATGAACAATGCCATTAGCCGTAAGATAAGAAGATAAGGCTTGATATTCACCACTCCGATCAGATTGAAAAGTTTTAATGGGATGGCCAAAGAATTTCTCAACAAGTTGACGAAATTGGACGAAGACATTGAGGAGTTGGGATTTATAACGCACAAAATACACCTAGCTAAACTTACTATAGTGATCATAAAATAAGACATAATAGGATTGATGATCATAGGAAAGAAGAGGAGCGTGACCCCAAAGATCACTACAAATGAGTTCTAAAGGCGCAGAAGCACAATATTGATAAGAAGGAAAGGGCAACTTATGGATCTTACTAACAGAACATCCATGACACAAAGAAGCAACACTATCATGATACTTTATTGAATGAGTAGACAAAAGATGTTTAACAGCATGGAGATTTGCGTGGCCCAACAGCTGATGCCAGAGATCAAGAGAGGCGGTGAAGACACGAGGAAGAGTGCAACTTTGGATATGAAGTGGCAGGGAGTAGAGGCCATCACGCGCAGAACAACGATATAGCTCATCCTTCGTGCGGCGATCCTTGATCACAGAGAGGAGATTTTGAACGTGAAGCATATTGTCGAGAACATATGAATTATTAGACAGAAGCGCGTGAGAAGAATCAGAATGAGAAATGGGTAGTGTTTTACCATTGCCAAAAGTGACTTGATTAGGACCAGTATATTCAGAGTGATGAATCAAATTCCCTAGGTAGGAGGTAAGATGGTGATTGGAGTCGGAGTCAAGGAGCCACTGTTGTGAGGATTGAATAGGATGGGAGGATTGGGCAAGATGGGATGCAGAGCCAGGATTATACGTGGGTTGGGCTGGAATGAATGGGCTTGGGCAATGATGGCGTATGTGGCCTTTCCTGCCGCAATTGTGACAAACCATGTGAGATGGGCCGGATGGCCCAGCCCCAAGCACACCAGATGATGCAGGCCGAACTCCTCCTGCATTGGGCCTCCCACCTGCAAAAGAGGGGTTAGAAAAATGAGCCTGGTGGAAAGATCCGCGACCCCCAAATTGGCCGCCTCGGCCGCGTGAGAATCGGCCGCCGTTCCGCCCCCCTCGAGCGGAATAAAAGGACTGTGGGGAAGACAAATTAGCAGATGCCGATCGGAATCGTTGGAGCTGCATCTCCTCACTGAGAAGCAGGTTGCTCACATTTTCAAAAGAGATGGGTTCCAGACGCGCCTCCAGATTCCGAGTGAAAGGACGGTAGTCCTCGTCGAGTCCATCCAGAAGAGCAATCACCGGCTCTTGTTCAGTGACAGTAGCGCCAAGAGCAAGCATCTTGTCATAGATAGCTTTTGCGCGGTGAATATATTCATGAATCGTCTCATTGCCGTGAGAGAGATGAAGGAGATTCTTGCAGAGCTGGCCGAGGACGACGGGAGAGCCCGAGGCGTAGACTGTGGCGAGAGCATCCCAGGCATCACGAGCAGTAGTCTTGTTGACAATGGTGGGCATCACGGCTTCCGTCAGGGAGAGATTATTCCGGGCAAGGACGAGCTTATCATTCCCGTACCAGGTTGAATAGGCTGGATTGGGTTGACTCTCGACAATTGAGGGAGGAGGAGGAAGAGTGCCATTGATGTGTCCGATGAGACAGTTACATCGAAGCAGAGGGTGAATCTGAGCACGCCATAGCAAATAATTGGTTGGAGTTGATTTGACAGTGAGCTGGGGATTTGAAGGAATCAGCAGGCGCTGTGGAGAGGAAGAATGGATGGACGGAGAAGAAGAATCAGATGTAGTGGAGGAAGTAGCCATTGGAGGAAGAAGCAGAAGACAGAAAAGGAAGAAAAAAAGAAAAGGTATGTAACTCGTTTGAGTTTATTATGGCTCTGATACCATGAAAGTGCTTAAAGAATCCTAAGTGTTATTGTATTAATCACAAGTATTTATACATTCAGAAACTGAAACTGAAAGCTATTCCTAAATCCTACGCAGGGGAGCAACCAACAACGTGAACTAAGGAACAGAAAGCAACAGTCACATAGTGGAGAGCTAACAGAAAGCAACAGTCACATAGTGGAGAGAGGGGAAAGTTGTTATGCTAATCCGAGTATAGATCCTCCTTATCAGCAACCCTCAGGGCCATGGCCAGGTCCTTGAGCCTGGAAGACGACGACACATTTCTGAACGCGTTCAGAGAAGGTGGATCGATCTCTGCAAGATTCTGCTTCTACCCGCCATGTCCAGTGCCCGATCGCGTTCTCGGGCTCAAGCCGCATTCCGATGGAACGGTGCTCACCTTCGTGCTGCAAGACAGAGAAGTGGAAGGGCTTCAGGTTCTGAAAGATGGTCAATGGTATCGAGTTCCGGTCGTTGCAGATGCTCTCGTCCTCAATGCTGGGGGACCATTTAGAGGTAATTTAATTAAGTAAGATGATTGTTGTCGCTTGAATTAGTCATCAATGGAGTTTGATTCTTGACTACTACTCTGTTACCAGATAATGAGTAATGGGGAGTTCAAGAGCCCGGTTCACAGAGTGGTTCTGAACCCGAAGAGGGAGCAGACTTCTGTGGTAATAGCGTCTTTCCCTGAGGAGGGGAGACAGATTGAGCCATTGGAAGATTTGGTTAGTGGAGAAAGGCCAAGGCTTTACAGGCAGGTGAAGTACAGTGTAGTTTCCCAAGTTGGTTACTATCACAGTGGGATGAGAGTAGCAGACGTGGCGAGAATCTGAGGGCTTTTTTTCCATCCTGGTTTAACCACTTCATACGGTTAAAAACCCTATATTGGTTTGAGTTCTGATTATAGGGGTGGGCATACGGTTTGGTAAAATCAAATCGAACTGAACCAAATATAGACAGAACCGAAACCAAATTAATGTTGTTCGGTTCGGAAATTGGAAGGGGAAAATGCATATTTCGGAAATCAGGGTCCTTTTGAACAAACCAAATAGTCGAATTACTATAATTTCAAACTCCAAATGGTGGATTTTTAGGTTTGTACTTGTTTTGAGACTTAAATATTTGAATCATCAATCATGTTAGTGTTTTATGACTTATGTGTTGAAATGTTTGATTTTATCATTGGTGATGCATATAATTGCATATTTACATTAGTGGTGAAAAATAATTTAAAAGGGAGAATATAAAAATAGCCTCACAAATTCGGTTTTGTGTGAAATTTCGAACTGAATCGAATTATAATTCAGTTTAGACCGAACAAACCGAATTATAATTCAGTTTGAATTCGGTTTGAGATTTGCTGAAATTCGGGAACCCGATATGCATAATTTTAGTTCGGTCGAACGGAATGCCCACCCCATTATCCCACTCGAACATGTTTCTTCTTCCCTTGCGTTATATCATGAGTTTACTACTGTTTGATGTTTGTCTTGACAACTCAAGTTGTTAGAAAAAACATATATAGTAATAATTTTATCTTACATAATTTTCTTGCCTGTTTTAAACCTGTTTGTACCTACTGGCTCGAGGTATGAACAATAATGATTGTTGTGTGGGTCGACTCGTCATCCGTTCGTCTGATCTCGTCGGGAGGGAAGAAACCAGTGAAAGGTGCCGGGGTTGCCCCCGGATTAAGCTCCGACGATCAAGTTAGTGTATGTTTGTGGAGAGAGTTGAGAGAATAGATAGAGAGATAAAGTGTAGAGAGATAGTAGAAAGTGGAAAGTCAGGAGAGAGAAGAAGTCCCCCTCTTTGGAGGGCTTCAAGCCCTTATATACCTGTAGCGGGTACCGAGTGTTGCCATTGCCGATTGTGCGCTCTACTACTTAGTCTGTGCATGGAGTATTTCAATAATACCCCCAACAAAACCCACAAAGTGCTTAATTTTGTGGGTCTTGAGGATTGGTTAGACTCATAATAACTTGCAAAGTTCGACACAATACAAATATGAAACTACTTCATATCATGTTAAGAATCCTATGTTAATTACACCTCATACTTTGACTTTCATATAAGGAACCATGGCGTGGAAAGTTCCCTTTCTGAGAAAGTGCGGCTGGCCTTCAAGCATTTTCTTTCTCAATGTTTATACTATAAGAATAAAGATTCAAAATTTAATTTATAATCCTTTTTCCTTATCAAATATTCATCTAATTACACTATTATGTCGGATAAATTAAGCTTATTTTCTTATAGCTTTGGCGCTTCAAAACCAGTTTATAAACAAAAATGGTAGAACCCAAATACTTGATCCCTCGCCCAAATGGTGACCGATCAGCACTAAATAGCAATAGGGTAGTCCATTTGATTGCTCAAAAGTTTATTATATTATAATTACAGTTTTTAAACTAGAGGGAAAAGAGGACATGAGGAGAATGAAAGTATGTCAAAGATACCCATTACCCCACTGATCATTAATCATATCATATATGTCTCCACAAAGATATGTACTTTGAAATGTCTAAAAAAGTATTATGACAGTGATGGATCGTATATTGTTGAACAAAATCAATGTCTAGACGATTGATCCTCTTTTGGTAAGGTTTGCCCCTTTTGAAGAGTTTCCTGATTTTGCCTAGATGTTAATGATTACATTCAAAATCTGGGATGAGAATTTTTGCTCAAATCTCTTTCATCCATGTTTTATCCCATCATTGTCAGGTATTTACTCTAATCTTCACCTCCGATGGTCTACACTCCAGAGCTTTTTCTACCCTGTTCCACGGTCACTTACCATTCCTGTTGTCAACCTAGGACGTCTATTAGATATACCAGTTGTTGGTGAGACTTTTGCACACGAATATGTGTTGTGGCAAGTTAATTTTAATATTGCCGATGAGTTTGTGCATCTCATGGATATCCATCTTGGTCCTGCTCTGTCTCTCCCTGTCAATGTCTTGTTGCCCCGTCTTCGTGCTTTCCATTTATGTCCTCACTGGGATCTTTCTCCCTCCTTTTCAGTCTCTTGACCGAGTTACCCATTTCGACCTCAGGATTATGAGCCATGTTGTCTCCCATGTCCCTCTCAACTATGCTCACTTGGTTCTGACTGTATCCATTCCAACCCTCATAAGGTTATGTAGATTCGAGTTATGTATATGGGAGGTAATGTGCGCATGTATGAGTACATGTCATAAGGAATTTCGAAATTTCAGCTTCTTTTTCGTGACCTTACACGAGCCTACATAAGTATAACTAGGGATGGTAATCAAACCTGCTGATCCAGTCAATGCGGGAATCGCTGCTGTGAGCTTGCTTTGATTATGCTCATTGGTTAGCTTCATTGTGTGTTTGAAATTTGTTTGGTTATTGGTGATTATCCATACAGAGTAATATAGCTTCGAATCAAAGGGTGGTCCAATGGTGGATGAGCTTAGTTCTACCTGTAGGCAGAAGGGCTAGTTGCTGTAGGAATAAGTCTAACTAGTTAATCGAATTTGACTATTAGCTTAGTTTTGCCCTGTGATGATGAATCCTGAGAGGGAAAGGAGTTATATGGTTATGGCTATTCTTTGTGCTCTTCTCCTGGATTTAGAGTGTCTCCAATCTCCATTCATGTTAGATTAGTTTAGTTCTGACCGTAGGCAGAAGGGTTAGTTGCTATAAGCAGTAGGAACATGTAGACAGTAAAGATAAAGAGAGGGGCTCTAGAGGGGAAACTGGTAAGTGATGTCTTCGAATGAGGAACAGGAAAGAGTTCTTCATTTGCCAGATTCAGAGCCTTCACAGGCAGAGGTTCGAGCCCTCATCTTGTGGATTTGGCTTGAAAAATGTTCGGCGAGCCATGGTCGTGGTTCGGGCTACCTTTCACGTATTAACGGCAGAAGTTGTTACTACGTTCTCCAGGTGTCGTCTGTTTTCTTCCTAAGTTTCGAACACAAGACCTCTTAGCACGTGTTGGTTTTGGCCTAATCAGTAATCACTGGTCGAACTCTTCGACGTAACTTGAATCACTTGATGCTCTGCTTCAATAGTGAATACTCAAATACTGCCACTTGATGGTGCTTCAATTACTCTATACTCAATACTGCCACCACTCTTTCCATGTCCCACTAGCCACTAGGAACCATTATTGCCAAAACTGGCCCCGCAGGCTCTCAAGGAAGCAAATTAGACCACATTCAACGACGAGATATCCCATTCCTGGTCTTAAAGAATCTCATTTCAGCCAATTCGATTTTCGATATCCCTTTCCAGAAACAAGCTTCCAAGAATTACAAGGGCCCTTTCACAGCCGATTTGTCATCACTCAATTTGCCCCTTTTGCCAGAATTTCAACTCCCCCCCCCAACAATTAATTCCTCAGCCATTGCCAAAAACCATGGAGGACTCTGTTCATGAATTGTCAATCACCGGCGAAAACCCACCGGCCAAATACATCTACACCGACAGCATAAACCCGATCCAGGACCCATCGATTCCTCTCCCCCTGCTAGAGATTCCGGTCATCGATTTCAATCGCCTCACGACTCCATCCGTTGGCACCGGAGCAGAGCTCGAAAGGCTTCGTTCTGCTCTCAGCTCGTACGGCTGCGTCATGGTAACAAACCACGGAGTGGAGGGTTCACTCATGGACAGAGTGCGGCTGGTCTTCAAGCAATTCCTTGCTCTTCCAATGGAACAGAGGCTGAAATGCCAGAAGGAAGTTGATGGGTTTGAAGGCTTTGGCAGTGACATGATACTGACCAAAGATGTATCAACAGCAGTTCGTCACTTCTCTGCTAGACTGCGGCTCACCACATGGCCTGAAGACAAGAGACAGATGAAGTATTGGCCTGAACAACCACACGATTTCAGGTAAAACCCTCAAATTTAATTCACATATTTTTGTTTAGATTGAAACTTGAGAAGGGAAATGATGATAATAATAATAATAATAAGATGGGTTTCTGAGTTTTGTTACCTGCAGGGAAGTTCTCGACGATTACAGCAGCAAGCTATTAGTACTTCACGATGAAACCCTCAGGGCCATGGCTAGGTCACTGAGCCTGGAAGAAGACGACGACGACAGCACGTTTCTGAAAGCGGTCAGAGAAGGTGGATCGATCTCCGCAAGATTCAACTTCTACCCGCCGTGTCCAGCGCCCGATGGCGCTCTGGGGCTCAAGCCGCATTCGGACGGAACGGTGATTACTTATCTGTTGCAAGACGGAGAAGTGGAAGGGCTTCAGGTTCTGAAAGACGAGCAGTGGTTTAGAGTTCCAATCGTTGCAGATGCTCTCGTTCTCCATGTCGGAGACCATCTAGAGGTAATTTTGATTAAGTAAGATGATTGTGTTTGGGTGTGGAGCTTGTTGTAATTGGTTGAATTAGTCACTCATGGAAGTTTGATTTCTTGACTGGTAACTCTGTTACTACAGATAATGAGCAACGGGGAGTTCAAGAGCCCGGTTCACAGAGTGGTTCTGAACCCGGAGAGGCAGAGGATGTCCGTGGTGATAGCGTCTTTCCCTGAGGAGGGGAGACAGATTGAGCCATTGGAAGGTTTGGTTAGTGGAGAAAGGCCAAGGCTTTACAGGCAGGTGAAGTACAGTGTAGTTGACCAAGTTGATTATTATTGGAGTGGGACGAGAGTGACAGATGATGCGAGAATCTGAGGGGCTTTTTTTTTTTTTTTTTGTTCTTCATTGGAGAAAAGAAGGAAATGACATGTGAGAAAACTTGTCTCTGCAGCAACATTTTACATCCAACCCTCAATCCCTCACAATCTGCTTTCATCGGTTTACTATCCACTCATGGAGTACTTTACTTCATTTTACGATATATAGGCTCCATCTGTATAGATATCATCTACACCCGGAAAGCCGTATGCTTTGGAAGAAGCTTGTACAGTTTGGGACTATGAAATCGTAACGAAAGTTGTATCGGATAGAGTGGTGGTAGGACATTTGATGCTTAAATTGTGGATCAATCGTGGTTTAACCAGTAAAATCACATACCGACTTGAGTTTCGATTTTCTGAGTGAAAAAGGTTTATTCTTACCTTCGCTATAGCATGATTTTGCTACTCTTTGATATTTGTCTTGATAACTCAAACCAATTTTATTTATCGTTATGGAGTGAATTTCATTACGAACAACGGGTTGAATGGACGGGGAAACATTACAAAGATAAAAGAAGAAATATGCAAAACAGAGCCGTAAGACAAAAAAATCAATATCCTAGAAACCCAAAAAAGAATCCATATATCTCATCTAACCAGAGTTTTCCCCGGGGACCGACGGGCGGTGGGAGCACAAGGCTTTAAGCTCGGCGGGGAGGTCAGGGTAGTACTTGTTCGTGAAAAGAAGCCACCAGCAGAATTCGTGGAGTCCATTCACCACTCTGCAGCAAGCAGGGCTAATTGGCCCGCTGCCGCCGCCGCCGCCGCCGGCCGGGGTCTTGCCGCGGCGGTAACCAGTGGAAACGGCTTGGCTAATTTGGTCCATGCAATCCGGCACCTTATGTACGGCGATGGAGCAGCTCAGTGGATTCGGTTCCGACATGCTCGTCTCCGCCGCCGATGACCCGTACGAAGCCTGCTGCTGCTGCTGCTGCCTCCGCGCCATGGTTGTTAACGATGATATTGTTGATTACGATGCTACTGGATCTTTGGTTTCACAACTTTGGCCTCTATTTATAAAGTTACACAAGTAAATTTCGTTGTTTTTTATCCAAAGGTTTAGCCTCTTTCTTCCTTTGCAAGAAACATTAGTTAAGTAATAAACAATAACAAACGCAATCTCCTAATCCTACTAGAACACTTAAGAATTGATAATTATACTAAATATTCTAAGATAATATGAAACACGTAAAAATAAGCAAACAACGTGTCAGATTTATGAATTAGGGTTCGCGAAAAAAGAATCAAATGTTTCTCATTCAAACATAAAAGAGTTATCGATACACTTTCATTGCACAACATTAAATTTGTTGTCTTAAAATTGATGAGTTTACTTTACTGAGTTTTTTTATCGTGATAAGTTTCCAGCCAATGTGCTCACGCATCTTTATCACCAAATGAGGGGCTACATTTCTCAATGTCAAAGAAATGTAGGAGCTTTGATGGATTACAAGGAACCGGTGATCAGCTACCTATCTAAGGTGACGGTGGAAAGAGAAGAAATTACGCTTATTCTTCTTTGGCTTACTTGCTTTTGAAGTTAGTGTTGATTTTACTTGTTGCAACTTGCAATCTGCAAAAGAGAGTCATTTCAGTTAAGCAAGAACGACCTTCGAAATTAGGTTAATGTCAGTTCATTAATGATTGCTAAGTTGTGTAAATCAAAAAAAATATTTGGTTTGCAACATAAGATACGAATGTATTTTTACAAACGTTTCAGAATATGAAAAGTCGTTGTAGTTCATTATAGAAAAAAAGAATGAAATCGTAATCTTTATGATTAATAATTTTATTTGTTATTATTTTATTTTATCAGTAGACTAGACACACACGTCCAAAAATTCACCATCCTTAGAGACTAGCTTATAACCCGGACCGTTGGCCGAAATGTTCATATTTGATTATTTATATTTTTATGTTACGTTTTAAGTCTATCAACCCGTTTAATTTTTTGACACTCCTTCGATCGAGATGATACATAAAGAAAGCATATATAGGTCGAACACTCAAAGAAATACCATCATCATTTAGGAATATAAAAATGTATCATAGATTTCGTTTTCATAATGATAATATTATATTGGTTAGTTGATTGTCAAGAAAGATAGAATATAAAACCTCACTAGAATTACCACACGACCCATATATAGTTTGAAACTGAATCTGAAACCTCACAATCCTACATAAAGGGTTCAATGCTCTCCTTTTAGGAACAGTATGCCACTAATAAAAAAAAATGGAGAGTTGTTGGTTCAAGTCATCAACTATATACAAAAAGCTAAGCTAAGAGGGAATCATCAAAACTTGAGAGCAAACGACAAAATTAGGGTTACCTCCAATATACTAATAGACTAGATCAAAGTCATAAGGCACAAAATTAGACACTCCTTGTCTATTAGTTTAAGTAAGTTGAATAAAGAATCGACCTACTTTAGTAAATCAATCAATGATTCCTCGTTTTAAGATAGAAATAGGTTGTGGTAGCCGCAAAATCCATAAACCTAAAGAGTCAATAGTCACCACTCTCCGTTGAACGACCAAATTTTTATCCACTCTATCTTCAATCTCAAGAGGCATATGTTTCAACCAAACATTCACTTTTTAATTCTCCTTCTATAACTCCATTTATGCTACTTTGATGAACCTTCTCTCTGTGGCCCTCAATTTATCTTCCAATTGGGGTTCTTGTCAACTCGCTCTTCAACTCCTCAATCTTCTTCTTGTGTTTTGTCAACTCATATTCCTAAGTGGCAGTTGTAATAAGTTCGCCAAAACCAACACTCATCTCCCCTTATCTGCCTTCACCTGCTTCAGTCCACTTACTATCCTCATCATCTCTCACTTCTCTCTCTTTAACTACTCAAGTTTTGCTTCCATGTCTTTCAATACCCTCCTTAGCTGGCTCACTACCCTCTCCAACTCCCTCTTCTATGTCTTCACCTGCTACAGTGGAACTTTACCTGCTACCAAATCCAAACATGATTTCTTCCCCCCACCACTTCCATTCTCAAACTCAATTCCAACTGATCTTCTACTCGAAGTTCAAATCATAACTACTTGATTGACTCCATTCTATTCGACATGGATTGATATCGGATTTGAAATCTTCTACTTGCCGAACTTAAACCGGAGGATTAATTTTCAATTGCGCCCTTGTACTCGGAACTGAAAGGGCCAAACTATTGCACGATGGAGTGACTTTCGAAGGAAGTTAGAAAGAGATAAGAACAAAGATAAAAAAAAAGTACAAAATTTAAATTTAAATTGAAAAATGCAATGGCACAACATATAGTAAAGAAATAGTTTCTTCCATGTTAGCCAATTACAAATTTAACTTAGCGAAAATTAAGGAGAGAACATGAACTTTAAAATGGAGAAAATTACATGAAACTCTACTATGTAAATTGAAGTATTAAGCACCATAAAAATACATACGGTAGACTTAGTGGGTTTGTTGATCATGATATAAAAGTCATTCACTTTCCAAAGTTTAACTTTGTGTGTGTTTTGTACTCAAATAGAAACAACAAATTCATTTAGTGTAATTGGTTATGATTGCCTTCTTTATTTGAAGATACCCGAGTTCAAATCTTGATATTGATATTTTTTATTTGAAATAAATAATTAATTGTAATGACAAAAATGTCCTTCCTACTTTTGAAATTGAGAAAATTACACAAAACTCTACCATATATTAATGGAGGATGGGCGGTTTATAAAGTGCAACTAGTTTTTTGGCCCGCGCTTCGCAGCGGTTATAAACTAATTATTCATTTAGATAATAAAATTTATTTACTAATTTAATGATTGAATTGAAATATAAATATTCACAAAAAATTTAAGAAACTTTATAAGATTTACATAGTGTTTTAATTATTACGAAAGAGATGTATCACATTTTTTTAATTGATATATTCATAAATTTTACATAGTATATTTTAATAACGGTGTTACATAATCTTTCGTAACATGTAGTCTAATAATAAAATGAAATTACATATCTCGCCTTTGATTAAAACCAAATATTATAAACATGGAATTCTTTTATTAATGTAGCCTCTAACTAATTTAAGAAGGTGATGCAAACTTTTCTCACATTCGAGATAGGCCTATACTGTATTTATTGATTTCACCACCCTCTTTACTAATCCTCATTATTTTTCTTTATATGCAGCATAATCAGTCATTATAACCAATAAATTCTCATCCTTCTATGTGGATAAAATGAACACGGAGTTTGTACAATGTGTCGACATTGAGCTCATAACATCCTTTTTTCGGATTATCAATAAGTAATTAGTTATGTCATATTGTAAATCATAAATCCCCTCGATAGAAAGCTACTGGATATTGTAAATAATTGATTCACACTATAACTTCAGAACTTGTGTGACATACCAAGTTTTGAAGGAAGAGTCATAAATTTTCATTAGGTAATAAATGTGAGAGCTAATAATCAAGGTTGTCACATGTCAACCCGTGGTTGACCCAAACCCGATGAGGAAAATGAGCTCCACACATTCGCGGACCGATAGGTTCTCGAAGTGGAGGTAACATAGTGTTGATTTTCCCTTTGGTTTGCGAATTGCACTTTCCTTTCGGTTTTTCCCTTCGCCTAATCCTGCCTTTATAATTCTAAGTTGAACATTTAAATAACTATATACAAAGTTATCGAATTATTAACTTTCAAACTATTTGCTCAATAGGCCAACAGGCTAAGTCAAGCTTGACAACCTTTCTAATAACGAAGTGGGTGGAGTATGTGGGCGCAATTTATCTCTAGTTTTTTCTAGGGGTTAATTAATCTGATTCAAATGGCCTAAGCAAGAGGGCAAGTAGATTTGGCTTCCACTAACAACAATATACCTTTGATTTACACGTGTAGTCTTCCAACCATGCAGCAAATATACATCAACCACTTGTCTTTCATTCTCCTTTTCCCTGCCACCCAAATTCCCTTGCATATATTACTTAGATACCCACTCCCCAGAGGGAGAATGAGGTGAATGGAGCGGAGGTGATGATCCTCCACTACTGGCCGTTGTTATTGCCATTTCCTTCTTCTCTGCATGTCTGACTTTGGAGCGTCGGAGGAGGATTATGTTGATTTCCAACACAATAGCAGAGCAGAGGGGATAAAGATATGGGTTTATACACTTTTTCAATCTGTCTTTGGAAGCATCTTCATGGGAAATCGTCAATCCGGTGTAGCCGACCAAGCTCTGCATGTTAATTTCCGTCACTCGAAATTCTTGTACGGAGATGGGATTCTGCAATCTGCATGCGGCTTTAATCATGTTTATGTAATGCTTATTTTTAGTTTCCCGTTCAATTTTCGATTTTTCAGTTTCTGTCTTCAAAAAGCACTCAAACCATCACTCTCCCTCTGGTTTTTGGTTCAGTTTTTAATCCCCTTCTCTGTCCTCCCAAATGTCATTTACCTCTAGTTGTTGATTAAAACGTAGATATGATCGGCCTTGCGTCCAACTCTTAAAATTTTGGGTTCCCTTCTCATATAGAACTATGGGAGAGTAGTATCTTAGTTGGTCTGCCATGATAGGGTTTTCAGTGGAAGATGGAGTCCACCATTAACGGTACGGAATAAAATGCGTTGTAGGGAGTAGCTTCGTAGACCCGCCCACAGCTAATCAGCCGATGAACAGTGTTTACGATGAAAGTGCGGTTGTTTCCGATAAAAATACAATTTGGCTATTTTATCGTAAGAAACAGTAAAAAGTTGTAAAAGAAACTTGCGCTTTTAGGGGTCGTTTGGAGATAAAAATACAATTTGGCTATTTTATCGTAAGAAACAGTAAAAAGTTGTAAAAGAAACTTGCGCTTTTAGGGGTCGTTTGGAGGTTGAGTTTTGAGTTGATGTATTTAACCAATTCATGTATTGTGGCAATTAAGTCGTTTTTTTGCCTAAAATTCAGCTAGAATACAAGTATTTGTTTTTAATGGCCCCACATACAATCCCTCATATTGAGTGATTATCAATCTCAAGCTAAAGCCAAGATTGTGAATGAGGGATTCTATACCACAATTTTGTTCCATCTTTGTCCCTACTTTTGTTAATTCCATAATTGCCCTCTCCATCAATATCTCTCCCCACCTTCGACAAGTTTCAGAGAATAGAGAAACCAGAGAGAAAAAAAACTCTCCTGCTCTTGATAATAGTTGTCGGCTTGTCTCCCTTAGGGTTCCTATAGGCCGACGAACCCATAATCTCATTCTCCTCACCATCGTATCATAGCCGGCCGCCTCTTCTACATCCCGTCATCTGCCCCATTCCTTGCTCAAACGACATTGTCACCTGCTCGAACACGTCATCCCTCGTCGCTACCAGATTGCAGGCCTCGCTCTCCTTCGCAAAGAACAACACCGTAATGCTGAGATTAAAATCAATTGCAATCAAAATTGGAGAAAGGTGAACGAGAAAAGGAAGGGGAAAATGAACAGAGAATTGAAATTGCTACCCTGCAGGGAGCGGTGGCGTCGAAGGTGAACGCGACGATGGTTCTGTCATATACTGCAGATTTTTGTGTTTTGTCATATGATGGTTCTGTCCCTTGCTCCATTTTGATAGATGCTGATTTTTTTCCGTTTTAGAATTGCCTTGGAGCACTTGATGGGACCAGGTTACCATATGGTTAAGATAGCTTTTGTATGAATGGAGAACCTGATGTGAAAATTTAAGGTTTTACTCCATAGTTTTAGCCAATCTATAATGGCCTTAGGACAATGTAGATTTTCCTTATTAAATGTTGCTGGTTTGTGGTGCATCTACTGGTTTGTGATGTAATGATGTTGCTGGTTTGTTTCTGCTGGTTTAATATAAATGATGTTACTGGTTTATGATGAACAAGTGGTCTGATGGTGTGGTTTAACAGAGAATAAACAGGACAAACATCCTTGCTCATTTTATAAACTAATTACATTGACCACTACAAACAGGACAAACATCCTTGCTGGTTTGTTTCCAAGCAATTACAACAACTAGTAGACAAGCTTACATTGACCACTACAATAGTTGTACAGATAGTCAACTATACTATGCATCATTGGATCCGAGCTCAATGGTCTCTAGAAGACTCAACCTTTCTACAATTTCATGGAATTCCTCACTTTTAGGCCGGGACAATTCTTCTTCAGTACAAAAACTACTTCTCAGTTGTGACCTTCCCACCAGTAGTTCAGCAACCTCTTCTTGGAGCTCATTGTTGCGGTCTTGGAGTGTCTCATTTTGTTGCCTCAAGCGTGCCATCTCCATCTTCAAATCGGACATAACAACTTCATACCTTTGTTTCTCATTCTCAATTGCCACCTGTATATCATGCCACACAAAAAATCGACATGCTTTCTGCGGCTGCACAATTAAAGTCTCTATTGGTTAAGCAAACCAGAGCAATCCCTAAAACCCACATCATAATGAAACATTTGTTTGTAATAACACAACCAGCATCCAACATCCCAACTCAAACCACCTGTTATCCATTTCAAGCAACTCCCACAAAGATCAATCGCACAAGCAACATGAGAAGTTGAAGAAATTACCTGCCCTGGACTCCATTTGGGACAGCCGAAGAACTTCCTGTTTGGATTATTGGCCGTACGGGACGTTCTAACAATTGCAGAAGAGTCACACTTACAGATGACAGAAATCTCTTCTGGAATCTCGCCGGGAGTTTGTCGGAATCGTCGCGTGGAGCTCATTTGATATTGGCTGCCGGAGTTTCTCGCTCAGTTTGGATTTGATATTGGGAGACAACAGGTGAACTGGAGAAAGGGTTTTTGTAACTAAAACAGAGGGTATTAATGCCATTCAACATAAAAAGTGTTTTATTCTTTTTCTTACAACAAAAACATAATATGACTTCCAAACATGGTATTTGCCCAATACATCAATTGATCCAATACATCAATTGACAATACATCAATTTGCAGAATCGCAACTTCCAAACGACCCTTAATTAATTGATGTGAAGATTCGATATTTTCTTCTTCTCTTAATCTTATAGCTTAGTTCTCTCTACGAGAAACTTTTATTTATGAGAAGATCGAGCAAACCCACGACCACCGGCCGGCCAGAACAGCCTCAACCGGAGCTCCCGGCGGGCACCGACGACGACGAGCGGGAGCACAAGGCCTTAAGCGCGGCGGGGAGGGCAGGGAAGTACTCCGGGAAGAGAAGCATCCAGCAGATGTCGTCGAGCCCATTCACCACTCTGCAGCAAGCGGGGCTCGGCCCACCGCCGGCAGGGGGCAGCCCGCCGCCGCCCCGGCCGTAACCGCTGGAAACGGTGCGGTTGATTTGGTCCATGCAATCCGGCACCTTCTGTATGTCGTTGGCGCAGTCCATTGGATTCGGAGGCATCAAGCTCGCCGCCGCCGCCGATGACCTTATTGAAGGCTGCTGCTGCTGCTGGTGGCTCCTCGCCGCCATTGTTAGCGATGATATTGCTGCAATTAGTGTTGCAATTCGAGCTGCTGCGAAAATTGATGTTGGTGCCATTTTGATTTCGGGTTGATGAGATTTTTGGATTGTCGATCGACAGGGGATTTTATGCCTCGATTTCTGGTATGAGATTTCCATTTGGTTTGGCAAGCAAGCTTGACATATCGATGGAACCAAACTGCACCATGTTAAATTGATTGGTCACTAGGTTAGCTAGGTAGATTAGCCTTGCATGAACCTATATTAATGTAGGGATGATAATTAAACTCATTTTTCGTGGGTGTTCACCCGTTTTGGCCCATTAAATGTGGGAAATTCTCACAAAATCAGTAGAGTATGAGATGAGTATATGAGGCCTGAGGTAAAATTCGGAAAGAGTTTGATGTGGATGAGGTGGGTATGAATTTAGACTTTTAGTCTCTCGTTCAGTACTCATACCACATGCTCGTATGTATATAAAAATATGTGGATATATTATAATTTATTGATTTCTAGATATATGAATATTGGACATACAAGTCGGGTTTACTTATGGGTACCTAAAAATTGTAGGTATAGCCGTATAGGCCTACATGGATGACTGGATGAGATTGTATAACCTTGGATCGATATGAATTTGCGTATATAGAAATGGGGATGGAAATAGTTTAAGAAAATCCGTCCATTACCATTCCTAGATACGATAATTAGTAGCAAAAAGGACTCTGCCTTTATGTTATAAAAATAATTTTCAATTTTTCAAAGGTCAAGTTCATACATATATTTTCCCTTACTTCACCTTTTAAAATATAAAATCACTTCTAAAAACCAAGCCAAAGGTAGATATGCCTTTGTCTTTTGAACATGTCGATCCAATAAAAAACCGTTCATTTTTTATATTTGGATTTTTATATAAGAAATCGGGCCAAACTAACGGATTTGGGCTTGAGTTGGGCTCAGCAAAAGCCCGCCCACAGCAGCACCTATCTTCTTCTTCGCCTATCCTTTAGCTTCAAGGGCAGGGAGACGCAAGCTTTCCCATCTTCGGGATTTGATAGATCGATTCTCTCCAATTTTCCCGGATGCCAAACAGAACTTCCACACCGCCGCAGCCATCGCCATAATGCTGAGAAGAAAAGCCACCAAAATCGACGTGAGCATCGAAGACAAAGAAGAGATCGAACAAGCCCGCAAAACTGCCGCCGACGCCGCCGCCATCCCTTCCGCCGGCGACGCTCTCGTCCGACTCCTCGACCGCACCCAATCCAACAACCCCGCCGCCCCCTCCAAATCCCAACGCATCGGCCTCTCCTCCTCTTGAAATCTCAAGCTTCCGCCGCTTCAATGGAAGTGGAGGTCAAGCTAGGGCTTCCCAACGCCGCCGCGCACTCCAAATTCAAATCCCTGATTTCCGAATCCCACATCAAGACCGTCAACCAGCAGAACCTCTTCTTCGACACCCCCACCGCCGCGCTCGCATCCAAGCGCGCCGTGCTCCGCCTCCGATTCCTCGACGGCGTCACACGCTGCGTAGTTTCGCTGAAGGCCAAGGCTGTTTTGGTCGATGGGGTGAGCCGGGTCGAAGAAGACGAGGAGGAGATCGACCCGGTACTGGGCCGGGCCTGCGCCGCCGACCCGATGAAGCTGGGCTCGGTTGATTCGAGGATTGTGAGGAGGTGCAGGGATGAGTTCGGCGGTGGGAAGGAGATGGGGTTTGTTTGCTTGGGAGGGTTTGAGAATGTGAGAGATGTTTATGAATGGAGAGGGATGAAGCTGGAGGTGGACGAGACCAAGTATGCTTTCGGAGTGAGCTATGAGATTGAGTGCGAGAGTGAGGATCCTGAAGCGGTGAAGAAGGAGCTCGAAGGGTTTCTGAAGGAGAATGGGGTTGATTACAAGTACTCTGAGATGTCAAAGTTTGCTGTTTTCCGATCTGGGAAGCTGCCGTGAGAGTAAGTGATCATGGTAAAGCTCTTGAATTTCGGCTATGAATTTGGGATTGGTGTGATTGTAGGATTGCTTGATTGAACAACAGGGAGTGATGAAACTAAGCTAGTAGTGAAGCTGTGTTCGCTCTGTTTACTTGTAGATGCTATTGGGAGTTCTGAATTCTGATGTCATACCAGCTTGTTTAATCAAATCCTCCATGGAATAATCTCTCCAGAGACCATAATAACCTTACTAATAGAATCGATTCTGTTGTAATTATGAAACTCTTGGTCTTCATTACTGTATCATTGATGAACAATGAAAGAGTTGCAATACGAGTATCTCATATATATCTCCTGGACCATTTTTTTTGTAGGAGTACTACCTGTGATCGTGATCACGGTGGGGATCTGTCCACCGTAATTAATTTCGTGTTGATCTGGATTTCTGATCGAAGAGACCCTCTGCGGCAGTCTTTGTTTCATCATCTCAATGTCAATTATCTTGTTCTGCTGAACCAGTTCTTGGTGTCCATCAGGAATTGAAGCCACCTATGAATGCTATTATTACTCCTTACCGTGTTCTGCAATGAACTTCGACTAGTGATTTTTGAAGTCGGATTTCGACATAAGTAGTACGCTGAGTAATTGACGACATTGTATTGTTCTGCAAGTGTTGGTTTAAGTATGGCGTTTTAAGCATTTTTCTGCTGTTTTTGGGATTTATTATTCAAGAGTATTCCTCCTTGTCCAGGTTAACTGAATGGGTAAAGGTCGTCCTAAAAATGACTAACCATCGTCCTAACTTAATATGTAATTTACCGAATTGCCCATTTTGAATTTCAAAATCAAACACAAAACAAACAACCCCTCCCCTTCCATAAATCTAAAAAATATAAACCAAAATCCATTTATCTTATGGACCGAACCATAAATCGAAGTAAAAGAATAGAAAATTATTGATATAAAACAAAAAAAATCCAAAAAAATTCCGAAACCCCTCAATGAAGCCAATTTTCGGTTGTACCATGGCTCAACCTAGGGCAATTTTCAGTTGTACCATGGACCAACCGAAAATTGCCTTAGGTTGAGCCATGGCTCAACCGAAAATTCGGTTGTACCATGGCTCAACCTAAGGCAATTTTCGGTTGAGCCATGGTACAACCGAAAATTGGCTTCGGTTGAGGGGTTTTGGGTTTTTTTGAAATTTTTTTTTGGATTTTTACCTCATCGGAGTCGCTACTCATGATTCGGACGTATTCCCAACAATTACGACTCGAGAATGTCAACGATGAATTCGAGAGTGTGGGAAATTGAGTGTTTTTCCTTTTTTTAGTTAAAGTGATGTTTGTTTGCTAAAGATGACAAAAGGGTTAATTGCAAGATTGGTCACTGAGATTACTAAAAATGTTCATGTTTAGTCACTAAGAATATTTAATTCCATTCATGGTCACTAAAATTAGTAAAACATTTCAAGTTCGGTCACTCTCCGTCCAACTCCGTTAACTTTGGCTGATGTGGCAGTCAACTCTTAAAGTTGACCGTTAAATGTGTGATGTGGCACTTAAAAAATAATAAAAAATTAATATTTTATATTTTAAATATTCCACCTAATTATTATCATCACTAAAAAAATAAAAAATAGAAACCTAATTCTTCTACTACCTACGCCGAACCCGCTTTCTCCTCCCCGACTCCACCCGCCGCCATCACGGCCAATCCTCTCTGTGAAAAACTCCACAACGGCAAATTCAAAAATCCCCAAATCTAAAACAAGATAGTAAAGGAGGTATCAATTGGGGAACCAACGTACGAGGACGATGAGTGCAATGGCCAAGAAGGGAGGGGAGCGGTGGCGAACCCTAACCCTAGGGCCAAATCTCGCAGGCGGAAGAGGAGTCCCTTGGGGAGCCAGAGGGATAGGGCGGCGTCGCGATCGAAACAGTCGATGGTGGCGAAGCTTCCGGGGAATAATCTCGTGATGGGACAGGTGAAGATATTGAAGCCCGAGGAGTTGCTGGGGAAGAGTGAGGATGAGAAGAAGGGGAAAAGGTGGTGGATTTTGGATTGGGACCGACGGATCGTTGGGCCGGAGCTGGAGACGTTTCGGAAGGAGGTTAGGGTGGAGGAGTTTAATAAAGCCGTGGATGTGATGTATGCAGGTTCGGCGGTTTTCACCTGGTCCCCTTCGAGTTCGCTTCTTGTGTCGGCGTTTAATTGTGTGATTAGTGAGAAGGTGAAAGGATCAGAGATGATGATTTGGTAGATGGTGGCGATGATGGTTCGCTTCTTGGTGACCAGTCGGACCTTCAGCCGCGATGGCAGCGCGCAAGGGCGGATTGCTAGGTCTCATCTCGCGTATATGTAGAAGATGAAGAAGAATAGAGCGAGTTTTTGCAGATAGGTTTCTGCCATAGTTTGTGTTTCTGTAGTTGTGGACTTGCGGTGGTGGGTGTTGTTAGCTGCTCTGGGTTTTTTAGTTAGCTCTACTAATTAGTGGTGACCAGTCGGACCTTCAGCCGTGATGGCGGCGGGTGGAGTCGGGGAGGAGAAAGCGGGTTCAGCGGATGTAGTAGAAGAATTAGGTTTCTATTTTTATTTTTTTAGTGATAATAATAATTAGGTGTAATATTTAAAGTATAAAATTTTATTTTTTATTATTTTTTAAGTGCCACGTCACACATTTAACGGTCAACTTTAAGAGTTGACTGCCATATCAACCAAAGTTAACGGAGTTGGACGGAGAGTGACCGAACTTGAAATGTTTTACTAATTTTAGGGACCATGAATAGAATTAAATATTTTTAGTGACTAAACATGAATGTTTTTAGTAATCTCAGTGACCAATCTTGCAATTAACCCAAAACCAATGTATCAAATTAATATCCTGCATATCGACATCAATTATATGCTAACCAAATGGTGAGCCATGTCCTTGATATACAGATCCGATAATGCCACTTTCACTTTCATGGATTGATTCCCTAGAACTAATACTATCATATTCAATCACACGTCAGTAAGGCTGTGATCCAAAGCAACTATATATTACAAATTCTAGCTAAAAGGATTTCCCAATCTGCTTGGAACAATAACTTATATTGACGGAACAAATACCAAGCTAGCAAGGAAACGAAAAAAAAAAAAAAAACAGTAGCTAGTACCTAGTAAGTAATGGAGGTGCATGGCAATATTATCCATACCCATGGGTATTTTACTATCCAACTCAATTGGGTTGGGTATGGAATCCAAATAGATGTTAGATACAATGGCGGAGCCAGAACTCGAAAATACCTGTGTCCTATTTTCAAAATATAAAAATAATATTAACTATAATTAAAAATAATATTATTCAAATAGTTTTTTCCTGTATAATAAAGAAATAACCCATGAATACAATCATTGTTTTCATAAACAACCACGGGACATTATCATTGTTTTTATAATTTAGTGGTATAACACTCTTATGATTACCTAGAGACCATGAATTCAATGCCTAGTTCATACATATATGGGATGCTATTTTTTACCCACAAAACTACCTGTGTCCTAGGACACATTCCAATCCCCTTGGCTCCGCCTATGGTTAGATAGGTAGAGTTTGATGGGTTTGTACCCATACCCATTTACTTGGGTTGGGTTGGGTTTTTAACATATGGATTTGGTTTTGTACCCATACCCAAATGCAAATTACTGTTTGGTATCTAAACTTAATAGTTATGCATATTTAGTACCTAAATTATTATTATTTTTTGCATATAAGTCCTCAAAATATCGATGAAAAATTACATTTTAGTACCTAAAATATTTTGGTCTCACATTTTGGTGTCTAAACTTTTCAAGTTTTACAAATAGGTCCAATTTTTTATGTGTAGTTAAAACACCCTCAAGTAAATGGATTCTTACCTTTTCCTGCGTGGTACTCTCCAGGAATGTGAAAATCTGATCGAGGTCTTAAATGAGTACGAGGAACTTAGTGGCCAGCGGGTTAATTTGGCTAAGTCAGCAGTGTGCTTCAGCAAGAATATTGCGGTGGCCGACCAGGAGTTCTTGGCTACTATTTTGGGGGTCGGGGCGGTTGGCGTCCATGATAAATACCTGGGTTTGCCTACGCTTATTGCCAGATTTAAGATGGCGACGTTCCGGTATTTGGAGGAGAAATTATTAGAACGGTTGCAGGGCTGGAAGCAAAGAACTCTGTCTTGGGCTGCAAGAGAGACTCTGATTAAGTCAGTAGCTCTGGCGCTCCCATTGCACGTTATGTCATGCTTCAAGCTGCCTCTTTCCCTGTGCCGTCTTTTGGACAAATATGTGGCCCGGTTTTGGTGGGGGATGGGCCGGAACATTGCAAGATCCGTTGGGTGTCATGGCGGAATATGTGTAGGAGCAAGCATGATGGAGGGATGGGGTTTCGGAGATTCGAGCATTTTAATCAGGCTCTGCTGGCTAAAATTGGATGGCGTATTCTGGAGGACCCCCAGTCCCTGTTAGCTCAGGTTTATAAGGGTAAATATTTCCCCAGAGGTACTTTCCTGCAAGCGACGGCTCGGTCCCGTCCGTCTTGGGGTTGGCAAAGCATTTTGTTTGGCAGGCAGCTGCTGGAGAAGGGTCTCCGCTGGCAGATTGGAAATGGTAGGTCGGCGTCCTTACTCCACTCTAACTGGGTTCCACGGCTCCAGCTGGATCCCCCAAGGTACAACCCTCGGGTATTGCCGGAAGAGGGAGACCCACGGGTTGAGGAGGTCCTGTGTCCAGGCGAGGGTAAATGGAGTGACTCGAAGCTCTGCCAGTGGTTTGATCCGCCAACCTGCCATGCCATTAAAGCGATCTCGTTGCCGCGTAGAAATGTGGAAGATAAGATGATTTGGCATGATACAGTAGATGGGGTGTTCTCTGTGAAGTCTGCCTATCATCTGGCAGTCTCTTTGGATAGGAGGGAGGGGAGTTGGAAGTCGTCAGCTAGTTGGATGGATAGGGCTAGTTGGATTCGCTTGTGGAATGCTGATATTCCACCTAAACTGAAAGTTTTTGTCTGGCAAATTTTTAACCGGGCACTTCCAACGACAGAGGCGCTTAGTGCGAAAAAGGTGCATGTCCATCCCAGATGCCCGGTCTGCTGGGAAGGTGCAGAGACGATGGAGCATCTTTTCCTTGATTGTCCGGTGGCTCGTGCCCTCTGGGGGTACTCGGGCATGGAACATCTAGGGGAGGGTTTGCCTCGACAGACTTTCCCGTTATTTCTTAAAAGATTGCTAGGTCTGATCCAGTCTCCGGGGTTGTTCATGGCGGTTGTTTGCCTCCTGTAGCGGATTTGGCGGTCCAGGAACTGGGTTGTCTTTGAGGGTAAGCAGTTCGGTTTCCCAGCGTTGCTGCGTCAGTACCATCAACAGTATGCGGAATGGGTTAGCCTATCAACGCCAGTAGGGGCACGACAGGTCAGGTCTCCTGGAGACTCGGTGGAGGGCAATAGCAGGGTGGTTTGTATGTGGGATGGGGCCACAAAATTGGGATCACATTCGGCTGGTGGGGTGGTGCTTATGACTCCAGAGAGGGGGATCCTGTTGGTGAAGGGCTTTCAGCTCCAGGGGATGGATGATCCAATGGTGGTTGAGTTGTTGGTGCTGCGCGAGGCGATTGTCTGGTGTCTCGAGCTAGGAGTAGTTGATGTCCGTTTGGAGGGGGATGCTAAAGTGCTCATTGATAAAATCAACAGGGCGGATGCTAGAAGCAATAGGGTAGGGGCGGTGCTTGAAGAGATTTTGTGCTATGTTAACGCCCATCCTGGCTTGGATATTCGATTTGTAGGTCGGAGGAACAATAGGGTAGCCCATTTGGTGGCTAGAAAGGCCCTTTCTTTGTACCCGGCTATGAGTCGTTCTTTTGATTTTCGGGCCTAGCTTAGATCCAGGATGTAACTATCGTTTTTGATATCAATATATGATTACCTTTTGTTAAAAAAAAAAAAAAGTAAATGGATATCCATATCCAACCCATACCCATTTAGATAATATTCATATCTAACCCAAACCCATATACAAACCCCAAATCCATACACACATCACCCAAACCCTACCCATAATAAATGGGTCTACTTGGGGTTTGGGCAAAATTACCCATGAGTGGGTAAATTGCCATCCCTAGGTGCAACCTTTTGTTCAAACAGTACGCTAGTATATCTATCTCGAGAATTTTGTCCAGATAGAGACTAGGGATGGAATAAACTCCAAGCCAAAGAGCCAGAGTTCGCTACACCAGTCGTCAATCCCAGTTTCCTCACCCTCGCCAAAAACTATTCGTTTTTTGTGTCCACATTTCGTCGTCCAGATTCAAAATAGTGCCAGTTTCTTTCTTGATGACAGGAAGAAAGAGGTAATAGAAGGGGCGGAGAGGGGATCACGATGGGGGAGATATATAGAAAAGAGTGGGCGGGGGAGAGGGAGTTCAAGACTCTGATTCTACCTGCTATTCATTGAGCGGCGGTGACAGTGAGGACTGAGGAGGACAATTAGTTTAGTGGAGGCGAATGGAAGAGACGGTAAAGGAGATCGGATTAGCGGCAGAGAAATTTACAGGAATTGCTTTTGACAGTCTGAAGGAGAGGGAGAAGCGAGGAAGATGATGGACTGTTTCTGGGTTTACTTTTAGGTTTTTATCCCGTTCCTAGAGACACAGAAATTAAGCAAAAAGTTAATTGAATTTTAAAGGAGTTTAATACTGAAAAAACACAAAATGAAAATGGCTGCAGTCATGATTCGGTTTGTGCGATCGGGTTGGGTTGCAATCTATTAAACCCACGCACTACACCTCATCAAATCATTAAATATGTGTACCAATAGTAAATAGGCGGTATCATACCGCACTTTTAAATGCGGCACCGTAGTATTGGCGCATGCGGGAAATGTTTAGAGGGAGGGGAATCAGATGGACCGCATATTTGGGCTAAACGGAGAATAGAAATGAAATAGAATGGGCCAAAAGGGAATAGAAAAAGGGTTCCTCCAGGGGTGGGCAACGGGAAACAGATATTTGGGTATATCCGTACTCGTCCCATTTTTTTAGGGTTATAGGTACTCAAATACCCGTAAATTTTCTTACGGTATGAGATTTTGGATCAAGAAATTCTACAATGGGTACCCGTGGGTGACCCGTTTAGATCTTACGGGTACCCGTATTATCCGCTCGTCTTCTTTAAAGTAATAATACATATTCTTCCTTCGGTGATCTATTCCCAGGTAATAATACACAGTTGCATATGAACCTTTTTCT